TATTGCTGACAGGCATTAAAGAATGTTTAAGTAAACAAAAAGATATATAATGCTCATAGAACAGAAGACTCAATATTATTAAGATGTCAATTCTCCCCAAATTGCTCATAGATTTGACGTAATCCCAATCAAAATCTTATCAGGGATTTTTTTTCTTATGGAAATTGGTAAATTCATTCTAAAATGTATTAATATATGAAAGCGCACAAGGAAATAGAATTGGTAAACAAGTTTGAAAGTAAAGTATAAAGTTTGAGGATTCACAATCTGATTTCAAGGCTTCCTACAAAGCTATAATAATTATGATATTGTGTGTTTTGGCCTAATGATAGACATATATATATATACATCAATGGAACAGAAGCATGACTCCAGAAATCTATACAAGTATCATTAGTAGACTTTTGAGGAATGTGTCATGATAATTCAATTGGAAAGGGCAGTCTTTGCAACAAATGATCTTGGTACTTTTGGACATATCCATATGCAAAAATAAAAAAGGAAAATTTAAAAATGTTAAACTATCTATACTGTCTTCTAATAGATTTTTGGCTAAGTAGACCTTATCAAAATTAAAAACATCTGTTCTTCAAAGACTTTGATAAGAAAATGAAATTATAAGCCACAAGCTAGAAGTATATATTTGAAAAACACATATTTTGATAGAGGACTTGAATCATGGGTGTATAGTGGACTCTTCAAATTCAATTATAAGAACACAACTCAAATAGAAAGCAGTCAAAAGATGTGAGCTGACACCACTAAAGGAGAGATAAAAATTAACTCTAAAAATAAATTTAAAATAAAAATGACTCCATAATAATGTATAAAAGATAACAAAAAAGAAGAAATTTAAATAGGTCTGTGTTGTGCAGCTATTAAGTGATGGAGTCAGAGTTCAAATGGAGCCATCCTAAATCCAAGAGCCATGATCCTGCCATTCTAAATTGAAATCACATATACCCAGCAACTAGCTGGGTATATGTGCCAGAAGCCCTAGACATATTCCTTCCCACATGGTTTGTGACAGTAAAAAATAAAAATAGTAGTGAGATAAATAGAGTATTTTTATATGGTAGAATTCTATAAAGTAATAACAAGGAAGAAACTAGATCTTTATAACATAACAAGGTGGTGTTTGCACAAACCCTGACATTATGTCAGTGTCTGAGTATAAATCCCATCTTTGGTACTAATTGCATGGGTTATTTGGGCAGTACCTCAACCAGTTAGTGTCTCAGTTTCTTCATCTATAGCATAAGAATAAAAGCAGTGTGTACCATGGATTATTATTATGAGGATTAAATGAGCTAATATTTGTAACAAAGTGCTAGGAACAGTGCCTGGCACTTAAAAGCAATACTTTAGTGGTGATAAGTAAATACACAAATATATAAATTTTTTATCAACCTGGACATATTTTAAATATTTTATTTGAATAATTTGAAAGTTAAAAGAAAGCTGTAAATGTATGTCCAAGAAGATAACATTATTGTAACTTAAAACAATAATAACAAAACAATAAACTGCATGTATCTATAAATATATGTAAAGAAAATTTCCTGGAAGGCTGCTCAAAAATGAATGCTTATTGTGATATTACTGGGAAGATGGGAGGGAGAATCAGACTGAGAGGCTGGCTCACGGGGGCTTGTCTCTGTCATGCAGTGAATGGAATGGTGGTTATTAGAGGCTCAGAAGGTTAGAGGTGGGAACAGAGATTGGTTGGTTAATGGGTAGAGCAATGCAGTTAGGTAGAAGGAATAAGATCTGGTGCTTGGTAGCATAATAGAGTGAATATGGTTAACCATAATTACCAGAAGAGTAGATTTGGAATGTTCCCAACACAAACAAATGATATAAATGTTTGAGATGATGGATTTCCCAGCTACCCAGATTTGATCATTACACATTGTATGCTTGTATTCAAATACCACATGTACCCCGTAAATATGTACAACTACTATGATGCATAAAAATTAAAAATAAAAAAAGACAGAGATGAACACAAATCTGACAAAATGGTGAGAATTGCAAGTTTAGGCATTCCAGTAAAGTACTGTAAAATTTCCTTTATTACTCTATATGATTTTCTTTATGTTTTCCAGTTTTTCATTGACTTGGGGAAATACAAGTATAAGATCTTACAAGGGATAAAAAGAACAGAGAGATCGATAAGCAGCTGTTTAGAAATCAGCTACATTGGCCTTTTTTATATTAAAAGTTGTGGATGATGGAGGTCTGAAGACACAAAAAGGGTCAATTTGAAGGAGGAATCACTAGAGTGCGGCAGGACGAGTCAGTGCCTGTAGGAATCTGGAAGACGTGGGACAGCCTCCAAGAAAGCAGCAGCCCAGGGCAGGCTTGGAGGGGTGTGTGGGGAAGAGGTCATGAGCATGAGCACAGTTCCCATCAAGTCCTATATCCAATATTGGGTCCTTCAGTCCATACTTTGCATTAAAATTTAACAGATAGGTCCTTTCAGGGTAAGAGAATTTTGAAAGTAAAATCTAGTGAAGAATGACTGTTATGAGGAAGAACATTTATAGACCAGGAAACAAAAGGCTCTAATAGGTCTAGAGAAGGCCAGTTTTAAAGATAAAATAGAAAGGTGAACAGTAAGGAAAAAAGATATAGGGTGAAACATAGGGATTTCTACTATTTATGCCACTGCCTAATATTTGCCTAATTTGAGAGATTTTTAAGAGTGCCCAGAAATATTGCAATACAAGATTGTCATCTTGAAGTCTGAGCTGCATTACTATGGTGACCTGAAAAAACAATCCCTTTTCAAATAATTCAGATCATAAAGTGCATGTGGCAACTGGATATTCTCATGTTAATTTCATTCTCTGTAGTGTTAGTATTCCTCAACTTCTCAAAAAAAGAAAAAAGAAAAGAAATGTTTTCAGTATTGCATTTTTCCTCTGACATACCCAGATAGTGAAATTTTTTTCTTAAACACTTTGCCTGTGTATATGGAGCCTATAGATTGTTTTATTAGTTCCAGCAATCCACTTCTGAACTATTAAAGCTACTCTAGTTTTGTTTTGCTTTTTCTTCCTTTCAGAGGGACACATTTATTAGCCTTTATGAGTTGTTCATTAGCATTTGTACAAAGTACACATAAGTCTAATGAAAAGTGTTAACCTAATTAGGAATGGGCGGAGGGAATGTTAATTGGAATTGACTTATTCCCAAGTTACTTTAATGTTTATTCCCAGACATAGGGAGCTAGCCTAGAAAAGCAGGAACTTCTCGATATTAGAAAGTTGTTTTTTTTTCTTTTTTTTCTTTTAGCAGAATCAACATTTAGCAGGAAGAGATAAATGTTTTCCATTCTAAAGGAATTAAAGGCTGGCATTATAAGGAATCCCATATATGAAGGGGTGGCACATCTTTTTTTTTCAGAAAATTTAATAGGTGTCCATTCATAAAGCATAGCTTATTTTACTTCAGTGAATCAGAGTGATGGTCTAAGTATTGCACAAGGGCACTTCATGTGATGCATGCCACACTTTGGATTCTGCATGGGAGAGATAATCATAAAACAAAGTAACTAAGTGCTCTGAAGCAGCGTGCTTTGGAATAAAGCAAGCTAATTTTCAGGTAGTTAAGGGGGTCTCTCTTAAATGATAATTGTGAATGCCATTTCCCTTAGTTAAGCCAAATAAAATGTCAGATTCAAAATAAGAAGAATGACCACAAACCAGATAAGAAGGCTTTTTTTTTCTTCTATTAATCTAAGCATGGATTATCCAGATTGTTTTCTCTTTCATGGGCTAGAAACTATTTAATAAAATATTCTTTAAGTGTATAAAGATCAGTAATGCATGGAGTTCCCTTGTTGAATACTATTCAATGCAAATATCTTTAGGAGAGGTAAACAAGACTTTATTAGGCTTTTATATTTTAGTATAAATAAGCTTAATAGATTTTTTTCTGAGACAAGTTAGAGTCAAAATTGCTTTTCTATTTGCAAAGTACTTGAAACTTTAGTCTACATAAAGAAACTGTGGTTTATGCCTCAATTTCACTTTTATATTTCTGAAAAATTAGAGGAAAATTATTGAACCTCTCTAAGACATAATTTTTCCATGCCGGGATTGACAAGGGGATATTTAAAGACCCATATAGCTCTAATATTTCAAGTTAGTAAGTTCGAAAAATGTTAACAATTTCTGAAATGTTATTTTAGATATATATTAATAATTGCAGCTAACAATCTGTTCTTTCATCAAGAAGCAATTTTAAAAAAACTAAAACAAAATTTGAAAATCCCCATGAGTTGATTTAGAGCATAAGCATAGAATAATGCCTGCTACAACACAGAATCATCATCATCAGAAAATAAATGCAAAACCGTTCTATTTAGAGTCTCACTAAAAGGGTGTGCTTATTATTTCCTAAATGATCATGGTCTAAGAAAGCCTCTCTAAGGATGTCTGTTGTTACAAACACCAACGGCAATGTTGCACTCCTTAATTCTGATCCTGAGCTCAAGATACTAGTAAAAGGCTTAACTGACAGATTGTTGAAGCCACTAAATATAGTTTGTGTTTGAAAAAAAAAATCCATTACCATGTGCTTATAAAAAAATAACAAACTATTTTGAATAGTAACCACAGATGTGCCTGCTAACTTAATGGAAATGAAGAAAGAGTTTATGTAATTCCATTTGGTAGGACAAGAACACAGTGTACACAAAGATAATAATAGGGAGGACGTTGAGAAATGTGATGGCCTATAACATTGAAGGTCAAAACACAGCTGATTCCGGGGAAAGAAACTGAATGGCTTCCTCCTAGGTGTACCAGAGTGACTAGAGTACAATTAAGTATGTGAAGATATGATAAATTAAACTTAAGCAATAATGTAGACAGGTGTTCTTATATAAAAGGTGAGCAAGGTGGAGGGAGCATCTGGACAGGGGACACACCCAGGTCTCAGAGTATATATAATGGGGAGTCCAGACCATGACATGAAAATTCAGAGAATCTGCTCAGCATAACTCAGCTGAACTCCCATCTCCCGTCAACATGCCCTACAACTCGTGCTCTGGAAACTTCTCCTCCCGCTCTTTTGGGGGCTACCTGCGCTACCCAAGCTCCTCCTGTGGCTCTTCCTTCCCCAGCAACCTGGTCTACAGCACTGACCTTTGCTCCCCCAGCACCTGCCAGCTGGGCTCCTCTCTCTACAGTGGCTGTCAGGAGACCTACTGTGAGCCCACCAGCTGCCAAACGTCCTATGTGGTGTCCAGCCCCTGCCAGACGTCCTGCTACCGCCCGAGGACCTCCTTGCTCTGCAGTCCCTGCCAGACAACTTACTCTGGATCTCTGGGCTTTGGGTCCAGCAGCTGCCGCCCCCTGGGCTATGGATCAAGGAGCTGCTACTCCCTGGGCTGTGGATCCAGCGGCTTCAGACCCCTTGGTTACGGAGGCTGTGGCTATGGGTATGGATGCAGCCGCCCAACCTACTTGGCTTCTAGGAGCTGCCAGTCTTCTTGTTACAGACCAACCTATAGATCAACTTTCTGTAGATCAACTTGCTGAATTTCACGACCTTGAAAGCAAAATGTCTTAGTCTCTACTTAGGGCTGCTATCATAGGTTTCTGCAGCAGTGTTAGCTAACTTCTCTCACCTTCAACTCTTCATCCTTTCTCTGGCATCTAGCACTGGCTGACAAACTAGCTCTTTCAGACTGTGAAATTAATGAATAGCCAAAATAGAGTCAAATGTCTGTAATTTTGAAACAAGTAATTCTTTATTACATACATTCTTCTTACAAAATGTATGGAAGTTCAGTTTTGTTTGACCTAATAAATTCATTATCTCTTGCATCCAGTATGTGCTCATTGTGTTTTATTACTTTTCAAAGTTTGATTTTCAATGTCTTTGGGGCTGCAAGCCCTCCAGAATACCTTTCCTAGGAAATCCATTTCCCTAGGAAATGTCATCAGACCTGGTGTACGGAGAGATTCTCTGGGCACGCCACTGACTAAGAGCCAACAGTGAATGTCTTCTGCCACGAAAACTGGTTGGATTTTTAACAGCATTATTGAGACTAAACCTGTAATGGAGTCAACATTCTCCTAGTGTTTTCGAGGAAGACCCCTTACATCAGCAACTTTATTTGGTTTTGAGTATACATTTTCAAAATGATATTGAGTTAGAGTTTGTTCAGAAGATATTGGCAAGGTGATTAAATATTTTGAAAAAATGTAAAATATTTTTAATATATAAAATATTTGAATAAATCTGATACGTTGGCATGAAAAAGCAAAAATATGAAGTCTCAGGTATTGGAAGTCATTATGATTGTCTTTAAATATATAAAAAATGGATTATTTGGTGTGTATATGTGTGTGTGCATAAAAGAAACAGATAGAAAAGAGAGATACGAGGAGGGACTTAAAGGTTAAAACTGTGAGATATGGAAAGTGTTATAGGGAGGCAAATTTTGGCTTGTTATAAAAAATATATATATATTACTATGTTATACATTTATAAAATCATCATGACCTGTGTGTTTTTCCTTGAGGTCACTAAGTTCCTCAATAAGCAGAAGATGAATAATCTCTTTGTAAGTGATTTCTGCATCAAATGGGAGTAAAAATTAGATTACTTTCAGTGGTCTGGATCTTATAACCTGTCTAGGTTATCTTTGGAATCCAATGTTCAGTTGTGGTAGTGAGAATAAAAATAAATCCTTGTGGGATGCTATTCAGACATGAGAAAGAACACCTGTGTTTATTTTAATTTGAGCAAGTAATTGTTTCAGAGGCTAAAGTCAGTGTGAAAATATAGTTAGAACCTTTTCCATAACATACTTAGTCATAATTCTCCATGAGCAGGAGAATGACTACCAAAGATTATCATCCCCTCCAATCATGTGCTATGAGTGTTGATTGATTTGTCTTTCCTGACACCTTTGCCTTAAGCTTTTCCTGATTGGATCTGAGTAAAAAAGAATATCTTTCTCTTATACTTGAGACAACGGGCTAAGCGTGGAGGTGTAGGAACTATATCCTGTGAGCACAGAAACCTGCCCAAGAGACAGACACAAGGGGCATAGAGAGAAGCTCTTGGTGACACAGGAGCCTCTGACTCCCATTGACCCTTAAACCAGCTTTACTTGTCTTTCATGATTATACGGGCCAATAAAACCTTCTTTTCGTTTAAACTAATTACAATAAAATACAATTCCTGTCACTCACACCCAAAGATTTACAATTAAAAATGTGTCATCACGTGCAGAGTTACTCATTGACTTTGGTACAAACAGGCGTTAAAATTTTTATTAGTAAGACAAAAAGATCTGTGAGTCTAAATTATAGCCTTTAGCATTGAAGGCGAACTACTAATTCTTTGAATAATGTGGAATGAGCAAAATGTGGACTAAAGAACCACTTGGGAATGCGAAAGAGGTCACAGTAGCATGGTCAGTGAGAAAGCCCTGGGCACTAGACAATTGTAACTTCAAGCAAACAAGGCATCAGGACCTACAAGGAGTGATGAGCAGGGAGAAACATTTAAAACTGAGAACTCTCCCCCAGATAGAAAGAAGGGCTGTCCAGTGTCATAGAGGATCTAGCTCTGAAATGATTGGGAGAATTTGCTGGAATCTTCTAAGCAGGAAGCCAAAAATTGAAATAGGTAGGCAAAGAGTAAGAGTAGAAATTGATACATTTTTAGAATGTTTTAGAATGTTTTAGAATGGAACATTTTAGAATGTTTCCAATATTTAAACTTTTCAAATTATAATGTGAAGATTCAGATTTCAGGGATCAGACAAAATGAATATCCTTCACATCCTCCAGTATCTGCTTAGTGAACTTTCCTTAGTATCTCCCTCAGTATCTCATCTCTGTAATCTGCAATCTTCAACTACTTTTGTTTTTCTTCCTTTGCCTTCTCTCTTTTCTTCTCCCTCCCCGCCCCCACCCTGATTTTTCATTTTGTTTGTACACTCTGTGCTTCTCTCCTCTCTCTGGGTGCAATTATTGAGTTTGGGCTACAGGTAACTGTGAATCAATGCCTGGGCTGGATGATAGTGACAGAGAATGTAATGAAGGGTGACTTCCATCATTGGCTAAGAGAAAACAAAGAGTGAAAATGGGCATTTGCCCTCAATCTCATTCTGCTCATTTATAATTATTCCAGCCTTATGCTTTTATTAGTAATTCACCAAGTGACATCAGCTCTTTGCTCTGAATTCAGCTCACTAGATATGCTTTGAGCTTTAACTTTGTACTAGAATTCTGTGGAAAATGCTGGAAACTTAAAAATGACCAAGACTTTTGTCTTTAAAGAGTTAGCTCCTGTCTAGTAAGAGAGACAGATTTTCTCCCCTTTGGTGCGAAGGATGGGTGTGAAGGGGGCACCAGGAAGAGGTAACTGCATCAGCGATGGTGGCACAGTTGCTTGGAAGAATGCAGTGTAGGTTTGGGAGACAAAACTGCAATTTCTTTTTTATTAAACTGGGAAATCTGGACAGCGAGAGGTAAGAGATTACATAATAATCAAAAGTGTGATTGCCCAACCCTACAGATCCAGAAATAGAGAAAGAAATAGCACTGATGCTGAGAAAGCTGAGCCTTGTGTCTGTGGTGGCAATATGTCGATGATAAACATTTTTTAAAACTTTTCACATCTCATATATGGGAATGGTTCTTTGTGCTCCTGTTATTCTTGGATAGCAAATCTTATGTGACCAGGGACTTAGTTGCAATTAGCAGTCTAATAAAGTGCCAAAACACATAGGGCAGAATTCAGGGGTATGTTGTAAGACTTGAGAGGCAGTACAATCTGAATTAAGGAAATGTCAGTTATCTGTTTTTCAAGTTCAAAATACTTTATCCAGTTACACAATAGGAAATCACAACCCCCTCGCCACGCCTTATGCCGGCAGCTCTGGAAATTCCCCTATTGTCCTCTTAGGGATCTTTCAATTTCCTAGTATCTTTCTATTTCTGTTTTTTTTTCTTCTCTCTCTCTCTTTCATTCATTTATCCTTCTGTAATTTATTCAATTAATAAACACAATGGGGGCATGGACTCTGTGCCAGGAACTGGGTTTAGGTTTATCTTTTAGGGTGATCCACCTGGGGGAGGTGTGCTCAGGTATTTCCCTTGATCATTTCCTCCCATGTCTTGATACCTCTCTTGCGGTTTGCGTATAAACCATGTAAAAAGGGACTGTGTCTCTGGTTCACTTTATGTTGCTTTTTATCTCATCAATTTATTTACTGCATCTCATTCCTAAGGGGACACTCACTCCCAGGGCTGTGCAAGTGGTTGCTTCCTTAACTGTTGTACGCTAGGCTCCCAAGCCTAGTTCTGGTGCTGTGCTGCATATATATTTTCTTTGTATTTACCCTCTACTTTGACTGTCAAATGCACGCCACGTAAGAACTGCTGCCTTCTGCAGTCCTCACCAAACCTCTGATATAGAGTCTTTGAGCTAAAGACACAATAGTTGCCACTTTTGCAATATGGACCCTGTTTCTGCCATCCAAACTACTTTCTTCTGAAAATTGTTTGCATACTTTGCCAACCGGGCTGTGTGTGTATACAGATTACTCATCAAGCTACTACTGTATGATCACATTTTTAGTGTAAATACTTCGTGAGCCTCTAGTGATGTTAAACTCTCCCCGCACAATCAGTTATTACCAAATATGGACATTCCCTTTTTGTACTGTGGTCTTTGCCCAGAATGATCACTTGTACTTGTTGTAATGGAACACTTATGGCAGGACAAGCAACCATCTACTTACAAAGAGAAAAGCAGCCTTTGTCCATTAACCCTTTCATTTGATTAATCCATTAAAAATTGTTTTAAATCTGAGCAATGTTTCATTTCAAGGTGTATTCTTTGCGATGAAGTAAACCCTTACAAGTAACTAGAAAACAACAGAAAAAAATTAGATTGTGAGATTAAAGTCACTAGACCAAAACTGTACACCCTATTATTTTTCATTAGTGTTTGTAGTCTGGTGTATGTTTTATATGCTCTGGGTATTTAAGAAATACTTCTTTTCCTGTGAAATACACATAAAATTGTCAACCTAGAGATAGGTTACTATAGATAGGATTACTATAGATAGACTGCAGTTTTGTAATCTCTTATTTTTTTTTCCTTTATGGAACCATATAAAGGGAAATAGAGCAAATAAAAGCCATACATGTTTGGAGATATGTTGTATTCTTGGTTATTTGTTAACTGGATTTTGATCTGATATGCATCAATCAATTTTCTTCATGTGTTACCTTCCTGCTATGTAAAATGAGATGGAACACTATAATCTCTAAGGCTCCTCCCAGCATTACAAATGAGTGTATATTAGCATGTACATTAGTATGGGGAGTGGGCTATTAATGTCCCCATCACAGTTTAAATTCTTCTATGTAGCCTAGGAAAGGAGGAAGAGAAAATGTTATAAATGTGATAAAATGTTAATATAAAACATAATAGTGTTGAGATAAATGTTTAAAGGTAAAATCACAATTCTTAAATAAAAAAAATAAGCACACATTAAATACTTTAATTAATAGATGTGGGGACCACTAAAGATGCTACCATTAGGTCAAACAATAATTCACAGAACACACTTATATAGGATGTTAGGAATACTGAAATGAATTCACAGAGATAGATGCACTGTGATCACTGTTCACAGAGTACAAAATCAATGGCATTCCACTGCACCGAAATTATGTCGTGTCTATGGGCAAGAATCATTTGCATTATTAACA